ATAAAGGGATCGATGAAATGGATTCTTATTTATATCACTCGACATCTTCAACCTCAGAATTCAGTTATCATGCACACCCCTAATCAGGAGATTTAGACTCCCTACAAAGTTTAAACTAATAATCAGCGATTTCGTGAACTGTTGAGCTCTGGTTTGCCCACCTTTGACTTCTAAGTCTAAGCGGATTCCGAGTAACTTAAAAATAACTGTGTATCCATAGCACATGTTACAACCACCACAACCAGTGAGACTTCGGAACCTCATCAACTAATTCTCCCCTCTCTTGCCTAAAAAACTATACCACAAACTTCGGCATTCCTCACATTCTAGTTACATAACGCACACCTTACTTTACAAACCCAACGGTGTTCAGACACCTCACGTCTTCTCATGTCCTTCAACTTCAACGATCATCCTTCACAGACATGCAGTAGGATAGGTCGAATTGCACGCTCTGCAGTACACCACCATTCATAGATAACAACAGGATATAATACCAGTCCCATCAATAGCACGACTTGACAAAACGTTAATCAAACCTTTTCTACCCTGTCCAGATTTCCTCGGTCACTGATCTATCAGGGCTGATCTGACCTTCCAGGTATGTAGAGTGGCCAGCGTACTCAATACTCAGCCATTTCTCTCCTCATTGTAAACTGAGGCACCATCACAAATTATACCTGAAGCAGTATATACATTTTGAGCAGTCAGGAACATTCCATAAACATTCTCAAATTGTCATTCATGGTGTCCAGAAGACTCTGCATATTGTCAGCGTCTTCACGTTACATGACTGTTCTGTGTGTACTAAACAGTCTTTTGTGATGTTAGTCTTTGTAAGGTCAAACGAGTAGTGACAAACCTCCATATGTAAATTTGTGAAAAAATTGAATAACAATAAAGAGAGTGATCCTAGATGTGCACCAGATAACGCACACAAATCATCTATTAACTCACTATAGGCACTAACAGGAACACAGCTTATCCGTAAGAGACACTTCCATTTAACGTTACCATAGATAAGTTCTCCAAGACATCGCGTGTCGAGCTTCCCTAAGTGTGCCTGTGTTCTTGAACCTGATGGAGAGTGAGCATTGTAGAGACTGCAATGAATTATATATAAACGACTTAAATTAAAATAATGTTTCCTTTTCATAGCTTTTTACACATTCTTCCTAATACTTGTAAAAACCAATGTTGTTTATCTGTACACTTTTTTGGTTGTGGCGGTATAACTGACTTTGTTTCTGCTGTTAAATGTGGAAATACAGTGCACTTCTATCCACTCCTTTTCCCACCGTTGACTATTGTCTGAGGTGAATACTCATTGATTGGCATTGGATTTTACAGGACCGCTCATCCTACTTCCAAATATCACGACAATCAAACCAACCAACGTCAATTGTGGACAGTTAATAATTATTGCCTTTTGAACTAGCTTTGGGATATACTAAATTGTGGTGGACAGTACCGAGGAGATAACATTCAAGTAACCCATTATTATCCGTAACACTGACGTTACTATCTTATATTATAACGTATAACTTCTCATATTTCTGTATCAGTGAATCTATTTTTGTAAATTATACGTAGTTTAACATTTTAGTTTACTTGGCATTTTCTTGGATCCACTACAACATGCGATCAATACACCTATTTTGATCAGGTTTGAGAGCTGTCAGTTTCTATCGGGTTTTCTGTTCCACTTAGGCGTCCAACGATGATAGAACCACGAATCTTGGACACTAAATTTGTCAGACTCATTCTCCCGTGGTTATCATAGGAGGATTTCTCTCTTTCTTGAAGATTGAAACAACCACCAGCCGAAACTAGTCGAAGGGGATCACACGTGATTCCTATGTGCTAGATAGTAATTCAGCTAATCTGACAGATAATCTTCTACAAACATCCTTAAATAACTCTGGTGTTAGAACATTGGAGTTCGCTCATCGTTCACCTTTCAAATCACTTACAGCCTTCTCAAATTTTATACGAGTTGGAGATCATGTTTCACTCACTAATCGACTGGATCGCCGAAACCATAGGACTAGTTGGAGGTCAGCTATCACCATATCATTAACTAGAGACTTTTGTCCCAGTTTTCCAAATAAGTCCAAATAACTGTCAATCTTTACATGCCATCAATGCATCTTTAGTTTTCGCTACCTATCACTGTTTACCTTCATTGAGCGAACTATTTGTCACTCTACATTTGAGCGCTCTACACCCTTCATTCTGTTCACAGCCTGTAGGAATGCTGCCGAAATACACCGACTCTTTCTTACCTTTTCCGTAAGTTCGCCTTTCACAGAAGACTAGATATGACGTCATATCCCCATGAAAATAAGCAACGTTGTCGTCTGCAGTTCCTTTCTGAAAGTTGCTTCAACATTCTTCAGTCAGCGTAGGACCTTGTGCCAAAACGGAACCAATTGAAGTTGAGTGAATACGTTTTAACGGTTGTAATCGGTTACGAATTACATTACTAAACGCCACCAACTAAACAGTCCAAACTTCCCTATAAAAGTAATACCAACTACATTGACTGATACAGTGTCTCAGTCTTATGGCTTTTAGCATTTTTTTTCTATCTCAAACTTCGTCAGTCAACATTGTGGATCTGGAAATAAAGCTTTTTAGATTCTCTACTCATTTGATGTGAATAATTACGTCATCGAAAAGGGTAACCAGTGGTATGATGTGGTTACCCTCAGTGTAGGTGAGTGGCTGTGTGAGTGCTGGTGGTGTGATTGGTGAAATTTCCAACCACATATCAAAAGCCAGTGGTACACGTCAATCTGAGTCATCTTTGGCGTCGTCACGACGTTAGTCTGACTGTACAAGGTGGGGTTCATGACGCTTCGGTGAGAGCAGTTCTGCTCTACACCTGTGAAACCTGAACTCTTCGAGTTGAGAATATGTGTTCGATCATTCTTGTCTCCGTAGGCAACACCATTTAAGTAATTCTGAGGTACGATAGCGTGTGTATGGGCATGATGGAAATCGTCATTCAATAAGTGAAGTCATCTGGAAACACCGGTTTCGGTGGCTTAGGCACGTGTTATGCATGTCGTTCTAGCGGCTTTCATATCGCTTATTGTTTGGTAACCCTGGAAGTGAATGGAAGAAGCGGGGGGAGCGGTCAGTGCATCACATAGTGTCGTGGGATTAGGATTTGTTGGTGCATCATGACTCTCTTGGTAGAGTCCGAGAGATAACGCAACTCAATGGCTTCAGACGTTATCAAATATAGCTCAGAATCAAAACCAGTGGCAGTCATGATGTAGCTTTCAATTATCTTCAGCTGCTGAAAAGTAATGAATGTTTCGTTTCGAATGTACCTCACTGAACTGCCCTTCTAATCATTCCACTCTAATTGTATTCTTCTTTTTATTCACTTCCCTTCACTTTACGTCTTCATAATGTTACATTAATTTGTGTGGAGCATTTCTTGGCACCCTTGCTAATAAAACAATAAAATTGAACAGTTGATGGACATTATTTCCATCCATCCTCTTGTTACTGCTTAACAACCAAGATCCATTTGTACAACTTTCAGAAAACTCATAATTTTTTTAAAATTAGAATCCGATATGCCTTGTGTCAATGTTGTCAGCATAATAAATCCACCAGTCTTCTTGTTACATAACTAACTAACTCTAAATGACCCAAATGAAAATCTTTTCAGGTTGAATACATATACAATACTAATGTTTATCAGAATCTACATCACAACTAGTAAACTCTACTCAATTCTTACTAGATTGAAAACATTATTATTATAATTTGTCCTTTGGGTTCCTAGTGGAAAATAGGACTTCAGTAGCACGTCACCATTTCACTCTCTTCTCCACAATCTTTTCAACCTGGCTCCATGATTGCCCACAACCCTTCATTTCTTCCTCACACCATCTCCTCCATGTCACACTCAGCTGGGACATCCAACCCATAGTTTCCGATTCGGCTTCCACTCAATGACCTGACCTGGCCTGGCCTGGCAAGTGATGTCCCCAAGCCGTCTTCTCAGTCTATGTCCAATCCAATCCATTTCCACTTTCTTCTGCATATGTGTTGGGCGATGGGTTGTTGGTTGGTTCGTTGCCACCTAACCAGCCAGAGCTCCTTGTTGCTTATTATTTCTGGCCATCTGATCTTCAGTATCAAGTGAGCGTAGGTGGCAGTTGTTCATGTATGTCTGCAGTTTGTTGGAAATGGTTTTCGTAAAACACCAAGTCTCTCAACCATCTCTCACATAGAAGCACTGACTTAACTGACATCAGTGTTGAAAATTCGGATCTTGTTCTTCATGCTGAGTGCAGATCTCCACAGATTAATGAAAACCTGTTTTGCTGTCTTTCCGATCGTGGCTTTGACATCCTCATCTGTGCCACCGCCGTTTGTAGTTGAGATGATGCTACGTAGGTAGGTGAAACAGACAACTTCCTTCAGATTTCTCCCGCTCATGGTGCTTGTTGTTGTTGTCGTTGGTAGTGGTGGTTGGGTATCTTCATCACCTCTGTCTTCTCTACGTTCACCTGGAGGAGGTCCATTCTTCGCTGCTCTACCCTGCCCTGCCTCTTCTGCCAACCTGTTAGTTTTCGCCTGTAGATCTTTGAGTTTGTGCGACATAAGACATTAAACATTAATCATCATCGGCGAAATCCAAATCTTCTCTGAGGTCTTTTCATCGGTCAAATAGCGTATGCCCATCTTCTCATAGCTCCTTACAGTTTGAAAACACATACAATAATAATGAGATAAGCAAATCAGTATATGAAAGCATTTCTTTTCTTCAAAATATAATAAATAACTTGTACAAATGCTTAATTGAAATAAATTAATTAGTAAAGAACCTATTTTTAATCAAATTCAAACAACAATAATAATTATAATAATTAATAGTAGCAATAATGATAATAGTTTTTTTAAAAACGCTGTAAAAAGATAATTATATTGTTTGTCATTTTGGCAAAATAGGCAGTAGGCTAATATATATTATTTACACATACAATAGAGAAGAGCATAAGTTTCAATTTGTTAAGATGGTGAACCACACTGTGATTGAAAACGTTTTATTCTCTCATAGATTTTTACTGCTGGACCTAATTTTATGCCAAGTTCTGTGAGTACATCCATTCGTTTCATGAGTAATAAACAAGTACCATCAATTTCTTGTTGATAGAATGCTTCAGCTTCACGTGGGAAACCTTCTTCTAGTAACCATTGTTGAACATGATCTACAGACCATACACTTACATCATTTGGACGAGTTGATATCGATTCATGATTATCATCATTAACACCATCATCATCATCATTGTCCATAATGTCAATGTCTTTTTTCGCTTCAGTACCATTTTTTAGTCCTATATCACCGTCTTTATTGTTTCCTATATTTGATTGATGAAGATGAAGATCTGAGGTTGAAGTTTGTGTTGAAGGTGATATTCTGTTGGCGTTTTCCGTAGATTCTTGAGGTGTTGATGATGTACTAGATCTAAAGTGAGTGGAAAAATAAATATACAAAAGATTTACATTAACAAAGAATTATATGAACAATTTCTTTCATCGGGTTGTATGATCTCCCTTTTATACGGTCTTCCCAAAATACACAAAGAAGGCATTCCACTCCATCGATTACTAGATATGATAAACTCTTTATATCATCTAATCGCGAAATGGTTTGTGGAAATACTTGAACCTGTAAAGAAGAGGTTATTAAACCACAGTCTCCGGAACACATTTGATACAATAAAGAATGTCAAGCTGGCAGGTAAAAGAATGATTTCATTGAATATCGTGTCCCTCTTCGTAAATGTCCCACTGATAGAAACCATCTGCTTTCTATGTGAATTCATTCAATGTCATAACATAGATGTTGGTATCCCAATTCACTACCTAAAAGAGTTCCACCTTGGATATACCTTCAATGTACACTTCAGATTTACCAATGAAATCTACAAGCAGATAGACAGTGCGACAATGGGTCCTTCAATAGAATCTCTCCTAGCTGCCTGCTTTATGTCATGCTTGGAAAACACCAACTTATCATCAACAATCAATGAACTTCATGTCTACAAAAGACACATTGATGATACCTTCATAATTCGTGATGAAATATGAATCTCACAAACATGCTTCATACTTTCAACAATACACATTCCCCCCTTTAATCAAATTCACTCTAGAATCAGAATCAAACTCAATGTCCCATTTTCTTGATGTTCAACTCGAAAGAAAAGACGATAATTCACTTCATAGATCGATCTACAGAAAGCCTACGTAGAACGGACAATTTATGCAGGAAGAGAAATCTTATCCGTTCACTTTCCTCGAGGATCAGAAAAATATGTACTGAGGACACTGTTGACGGAGAACTATAAAACCTTCAACGAATTCCAGTGGAAAACCATTTCCCACTCAGATTCATAGATAACAACATAAAGCTAACGAAGCCAACTGATCGAACACATTTGGTGCCAAAAAAGACTCTCTCTGTCCACCCAAAGCAAGCAAAATATTAAGCCGTATTATCCTGCACAGACTAAAGGATACACTGGATTCAAAACTACGACCGGAACAGGCAGGCTGGCAGGCTTCAGGAAGTACAAATCATGTGCCGACCAAATTGCAACGCTCCACATCATAGAACAGAGTACAGAATGGCAGTCAACTGGATCTTCACCTCAACTTTATCGACTTTGAGAAGGCCTTTGACAGCGTCGACCGACAATTGGGGAGCGAGAAGAGGGGGATACACTGGATGGACTGCGGAAAAGAACCTAGAAGACTTGGATTTCGCCGATGACTTGTGCCTGATGTCACATAAACTTGAAGATCTACAGGTGAAAACTAACAAGTTGTCAGAAAAGGCAGGGCAGCGAGGGGAGACGGGACTTCAGCTGAATATAAAGAAGACAGAAGTGATGAAGATACCACACCAACAACTCCAACAACAACAACAAACTCCAATCACCATCAACTGGAGAAACTTAAAGGAAGAAACCTCCTTCACCTATCTAGGAAGCACTGTTTCAACTACAGGCGGCAGTGGCGGTGGCACAGACGAGGATGTCAAAGTCAGAATCGGAAACACGGCAAGACAGGCGTTCATTAGCCTGAAACCAGTGTGGAGATCTTCTGCACTCAGCATAAAGCGTGAACAAGATCCGGATTTTCAACACCAACGTCAGTCAAGTCAGTGCTTCTATATGGTTCAGAGACTTGGCGCGTCACGAAAGGGATTTCCAATAAACTACAGACACTCATCAACAACTGCAGCCTACGCTCGCTACTGAAGATCAGATGGCCAGAATAATAAGAATAAACAACAACGAACCATGGGAACGAACCAACCAAGAACCTATCGCTCAACAAATATGTAGAAGGAAGTGGAGATGGATTGGGCATGCACTGAGAAAGCCGACTGGGGACATCACGCGACAGGCCGGGCACTCGAGTGGAATCCCCATGAGAAGCGACGAGTTGGGCATCCAAGGGTGACATGGAGGAGATTGTGCGAGGAGGAAATGAGAGGTTGTGGGCTGTGGTGGAACCAGGTTCAAAAGATCTCAGAGAACAGAGTTCAGTGGAGACGTGCTACTGAAGCCCTATGTTCCATTAGGAACCCAAGGGACTAATAATAATAATATAATAAAGATATAACTAGAAAATTATGTGGATGAACGGCTAATATTGAACAAATCAAAAGGTTGAAAGCTGAAATCAACAGAATTAGTGATGAACTTATTCATTCATGTATTCGATTCTGCAAGACAAATAGATTGTAACACAAACTTCTGATCCAAATACACCATTAGTGGATATGATGAATATACGATCCCAGTCGACAATCATAAATCCTGTGTCTGATACCCTCTTCAGACCGCGTCAAGCTCCAGAACATGGATAGATGTAAAGCTGTGGTTCAGTGGTTTAGGGAGATGCGTACCAACCATTGGGTCACGGGTTCGAAGGAAGAATGAGATTATGAGATTAAGTATAATGGTTAAGATGAGGATAATGTGTGTATGCATCTGCACCACTGACATAGGTTCTGAGCCATATCACCTGGAGTCTCCAACCACTGGTTTCTCTTGTCACACGGACACCAACCGGCTAGTCTGCATTGCTCTACATGGCCCGAACCGACAGTCAAGGACTTCATGCATTGATGCCATGTTTTAGTCTGGCCGCTCCGAGATTTTTTCTAGCCTGGACCTACTTCGACCAACATTGGTGTTATAAAGCAGACGGTGGCTAGGTATACTCAACACATGTCTGATGTTGATTTCACTAGTTTGATATCATACAACTCCTTTGCGATGTCAAAAAGACTCTGTATGGCGGACCAAGTATTCAAAATGTATAGTACAAATTATGTATGATACAATAAGTTAATGAATTATACGAGTATGCACAAATAGTGTCAAACGATCGATACGGAGATATGATTGCATACTAATCATTTTATGCAAATCTTTTATACCGAAATGAACACACCCAGAAAACATTGTCCTGCGAGGTGAAAACGCTGAAAAAAAATCCAGGGTCTTCTGAATACCTTGAAAAGAAATCTGACTATGCTAGGCATGCGTTTCAAGCCTGTCAAATGTAAGATGATGGTCTAAACTGGTCCGCAACTACTCCTAGTTTAAGGGAAGGGTATGAAGTGGTGGAATGTGTCAACCATGGTTGAGACATAGCCGGTTACGGGTATCTTCGTAGCATTGGTCGGATATGGTGGGATCGCCATGTGAGCAATATCATGGTTAGGCGAAGTGCAACTGGTGAAGAAAAGCAAGTCAGTCGATGAGGTTGCGGACCTTGATCGATTGAGGTGACTTGGACATGTACCACGCATGTCGAGCAATCGCCTGACTCAGTATGCAATCATAGCAGAAGTTAGATTAGGTTGAAACAAAGCCCACGGTGACCAGGCCAAGACTTGATACCGGTGCATAAAGTCTCTTATTCGGTCTGAACCGTGTATGGAGGTATGAACTACCTACCTGTGGTCCCCAAAACGACAGAAATCAACGATTTCAGAGTCTTAGTGACATGCCTGAAAATCGGTCACAATGACTCAGATTTATTCATTCCTTGATATCTTCTAAAGCTTAAAATGTTTTGACCAACTTTAAATTTTAAATCCTCTCTCCTACCACAAATGACTTTCCTACAGACTTATTCTTTGCATTCTACTATGAAGTTTATCATGAAATCGAACCGATGGACTTGTGTGAGGTTCTACATTGATTTCGCCTATCTGTCTGTCTGTCCGTCTGCCTGCCTGTCTGTCTGTCTATTGTCTGTGACACATTTAGAGTTGATAGAAATCTAGATTTAGCTTTCCGAAGACTACAATGTAGTACTGTGTTGAGCATATAAAAAAAGCGAAACATTGTGAAATATTTGATAATTGACTTGTTTAACACAACAAATACATGACACATGCAACCAGTCTTAATCATATACTATAAGTAACTGTTTAACATCCAAAATGCAGCTTTATTATTTACAATAATGTACTGGTTCACTCTCACATACACTATGAAAAGTGGGGCAGGGAATTATTCAACCTAAAAGGAATTATTTTACAAAAAGTAATGAACGCGAAATGTTCTCTGATAGAAATAGGGAGACAGACAGATCAACGTGGAACTTGCTACAAGAGTGCATTATTAGCTAAGGCTGCCATACGTCATAGAAGCATGCAAAGAAGTGGGCAGAAAATGAAAATGTTGAGAACTCCGTAGATGACAAAGAGTTTATAACATATGGGTTTCGAATAATTATTTTGTATTATTTGAAAGACCATAGTTAGGCAGTCTACACTTATCTGCAGAGGTAAGATCAACAGTTACAGAGGGACTTTAATGGATTTTGTATACTGTTCTAAGTGTTCAGATGGATGGAAACTTCCGGCCACTCTACCACCATGGAAGTTGCTTTCATGAGGTAGATGAGTCCTATGAAAACGCAAAATACACAGGACATCTGCCAAAGGTTTGCAAAAGATGACCTTTAAAAAGTGTTGTATTCGACTGTCTATGGAAGAGGTAGAAGTGTACTTTTTCAAGATCAAGCTTTTCTCCGATAAGGCAAGGTAGCACCAAGATGAAACGCTGGTTATTCATATGAAACACTTTACTGCAATCACCAGTACAACTTCATCTTTAGACCTCAACTAAGGCGTGAATTATTCGCGCTATGATGGTAACGGCTTTCAGTCTTACCATTAGCTAAGACCTCTTTCTGATATTGTATTCATCAGCATAGCTCGTTTGGTCATTAGGATAAGTTCAACTACCAGGTCAAGGTAGCAGTTATTGCTCATTAGGTGGCAAATAAATGTAGCTGAACGAAGTTGATCAATCAAGTTCGAGACATTGCTATTAAGCTAAATGATACGATGATGTAGGGCATTGTTTTGGTGTTAATGCACATAAGGATAATGCAGAATTTAGTATACTTAACTAACTTTCATGTAGGATTTTTCTCTTCACTTATTCGTCATTCATATGGCATGAGAATACTTATAAAACGCCCACTCAACTAGAATACAAACCCGATGACCTTGAAAGTGCTTCATATATGACTAACTTGTGTCCCAACAGAAAGAATCTGATATTTTATAATGAATATCTTAAACTAAATATGTTAGGATGTACTTGATGATGGGGAATATGATGACTACCAACCTCAAAAAATGTGAAAACAATCACAATACGGTAAACCTAGATTTCATATTCACAGTCAATTCTAATCGATGCGACTAGAAAAATCATGTTCAGACAAGTTAAATAAACTCCAGAATTTGTGATGTCTGCAGTAATGACAAATAAGAATAAATACTAGTTTATAAAAATACTCAGTTTCAGTCACAATGGCACGTCAGTAGTATCGAATGGAAGTTTAAGACACCATTAAGTTTCTTAGAAATCTAAACAACAATATAGAATATGAAAAAGATAAAACACCAACAATTGAACAAATCACCATAGCATTTATGAATTATCATCTATAGTAAGTATTGTCCGAATGCAACAAATCTCTTTACACAGTCAGTCCATCAGAAACACATAACACATCTTTGGCTATACGATACAATTCATTTTCCAGGGTCCATGGAGTACTCTAAGTGGTTGCTCAAAGACAATCGATCAGTCAGAATCAACAAATGTTCTGTCATTACTGTGTGACGGTTCAAGCTCTCATACATTGTATCAACACCTCAAAGGTTACAATGGAAATAATGCCAATATGATCGATCTTAAACCGCCTTATCTCTAGAGTATCCAACTACCGATTACAGCTGGTCACGTAGACCCCAACAATTTTCATTTGGATGATGAGAAATGAATCTCAAACATTCTCAGACTGCAACTCAATGAGTATAGAGGACTCTTTCCATCTTCCGTAACCGATTAGATAACACAGTGACACACCATTATTTACTATATGACGTTTCGAGTACAATTAATCGCTCATAATCTTATCACAACTTTGATATAATGATAGCCAATGAAATGTGGTCAAAACGTAATCTGGTGAATAATAATAATGACGATTACAATCACAACAATAGCAGTAATAATGATAATAATCATAACGACCACAATAGTCATAATCATAATTATAATGATAACATAAGAGGATTTCCCTCCTTTCTAATAGACTGGGATGATCAGTGAAGTACACCAATTTGACGTCACTACTTCCGATCCCTATTCACTACCTAGTACCTCCGTCCCTTTAAGCAGCAATTTCCTACCCCCACCCTTGAGAACTGCAGGTGACAAACTGTCAAGTCCTGCTTCTGCTTTGCATCGTTTGGGGGTTCAAAACATCTTTCTCAACTTCAAGGAGAGTTGGAGGAACAACATCTACGTCCCATTCAGACTAGGTGTTAGGCAACTGAAGCGTTGCTGTCCGGTTGTATGGCTGTGAGACATAGTCGTTAAAATAAGAGGACAAGAAGCGATTACTGGTTTTTTTTAGCACACGCGTCTTCTTAGCATTGCTCGTATTTGGTGAAATCCTAGTGTGAATAATGTTGATATCAGGTGAATGGTACTAAGCAAGATAGGCAAGTCGGTTGATAAGGTTGTGAATCTTCACCGTCTGAGCTGGCTTGGAAATGTGTTGCGTCCAGATTAAGATGAAAGAGGGTTCACGGTGGCCAGACGAAGACAGGATACCAGTCGATGAAGTCCCTGACCGTTGGTCTGGGCCCTGTCGAGAGATGTAGACTGCCTAGTTGGCTTCCTCGAGACGAAAAGAAGCAGTGGTTGCGGACTCTTCGTGACATGTCTGAAAATCAGTGACAATGGCGCAAATGTATTCACTCCTTGGAATCTTCTAAATATTCACACACACAGATTGTTTATTCTCTCACACAACCTTGTCTACTTTGATATCACTCCTTATCTATTCACCTGTTTTTTGTGTACTACTGTGAAATGTGAACTGATGCACCTGTGTACAAGATTCAGCGTTGATTTTGTCAGTCAGTCAGTCAATATCAATATGCGACTTGGCATAATGGTGTAACGGTCCAAGGTGCCACACTTCATATCAGGCACATGAAGCAAGAAAACACCAAAACTAAGCACAAAGAAACAGAGAAAAAAGGAGGTAAAAGTGGTAGAAGCTCGTAATAAGATAAACAAGAAGGAGTGAGACAACAATTAAGTTTAATATGAACATCGAAATGAAGATAATATGCGAATACATCTGAGCCATGTCACTTAGTGTCTAATCATGCGTTTCTGCTGTCACGCAGACCCCGACTATGAAGTCTACATTTCCCCACGCAAGTCAGAACAGTCAAAGATTCATGGATTAGTGCCATATTTTGGTCTGGCTGTCTCTAACGTCTTTCCAGACTGGAACTACATTAGTTAACAATGTGAGATGGGGCAACGGTTGGACATCCATAGCACATGTTACAACCACCACAACCAGTGAGACTTCGGAACCTCATCAACTAATTCTCCCCTCTCTTGCCTAAAAAACTATACCACAAACTTCGGCATTCCTCACATTCTAGTTACATAACGCACACCTTACTTTACAAACCCAACGGTGTTCAGACACCTCACGTCTTCTCATGTCCTTCAACTTCAACGATCATCCTTCACAGACATGCAGTAGGATAGGTCGAATTGCACGCTCTGCAGTACACCACCATTCATAGATAACAACAGGATATAATACCAGTCCCATCAATAGCACGACTTGACAAAACGTTAATCAAACCTTTTCTACCCTGTCCAGATTTCCTCGGTCACTGATCTATCAGGGCTGATCTGACCTTCCAGGTATGTAGAGTGGCCAGGGTACTCAATACTCAGCCATTTCTCTCCTCATTGTAAACTGAGGCACCATCACAAATTATACCTGAAGCAGTATTTACATTTTGAGCAGTCAGGAACATTCCACGAACATTCTCAAATTGCTTCTCAAGGTAATCGATCACTGTCATCAAATACCTTAGCTAGCTCAGTAGTCAGTTTATTAAAAGCGTTGGTCAAAACTATTTTTAGGAACGTTAGATTACAACTAAGAGTTTTTTTTTTACACTACTATATGAATCAAAGAGGTTTGTCTAGTGAAAGCTTAAACTGATAGACCGAATCAGAAGTAGTGTATAATTAATGTCAATATTGTTATAACCAATCGAGATCACTAAGCACTTACTCTTTTACAAATCTGATGGCCACTTAAAAAAGGATGATGATGATGATGATGATGATGATGATGATGATGATGAGAACAGATTTACTAACTATTATGAAATCAGATATTTTTACCGATTCATCCTCTAACTCAAAAAAAAACTGAAGAACACCATCCAGTAAAGTTGTCAACAAATGAGATGGACTATGAATGAGTAAGTAAGTCATCAGAAAGTTACTGATTGAACAGATCAGTAGCCTATAGCCTTCTATTGGTTCAAATCACATCAGACTTTGCTTTTCACCTTGAGTCATCAACCTATATCATCAGGTACTCCAGATATAGCTAGTGTTCAGTTCTTAGAAGAGAATAAAAAAGCAAGTTAAATATAATGACGTCATATATATATATATATGTATATGTATATATATATATATATATATATATATATATAGACTTACTCATCTTTTTGTAGACTTCCACTATCCATTTGATTAGAGATTGTTGTATTCATATTTACTTCTTCAGAAATATTATTATCAACGCTTGAAGTAGAAGTTATAGAATATGATCTAGTCGGTGATAAAATAACTGAATGATTCGTTGGATTTATTGAATTGACTAGAATATTTTCATTAGAAATTATATTGGAAGCAGTAGTAGTTGTTGGTGTTATTTTAGTTGGTGAATTCATATCATCAATTGAAGAGTTAGATGAAGATTCAATAGATTTGTCTAGACTTTCTTCAATAACAGACTTATTTAAATCAATTTTTGTTTCTATTCTAATTGAATCATGAGATGAATTGATTTCTTTCAATGGACTATTTGTATAATTATTAGAATTATTGATTTTTTCAAATGATAAAGAATTTTGACTATTCATTCCAGTTGGTAATGTACCAATAGCCACACGATAACCTTCATTTTGACAAGTTGTACAAACCCATGGAAGACTACGATCTATTGGTTCTACTAATTTCGGTGATGACAATCAATATGAAATCCTTTATCACATGCATCACAGATAATTAAATCACTCTGTGGAATAAATAGAAAAAAGGAGAGGAGAAATAAGGTGCAAGTTATTATTAATTAAAGTAATAGTAATATACCATTACTAGTACTCAGCGAAGCTTATTACATTTTTTTTTAAAAACTGCAGATGCAACAGTTAACTATTTTGAAAGGTAATCTGATCAAAGTTTGACAGGAAGTGGGTTAAATCAAAATCAGCATTTTAAGTCATCATCAGTCAGTAGGGTAGAAGTTTTGAATCTCAACCTTTGTTTCATTTAACTGTGTAGGTAGGGGAAACCTGATTGGACAACTTTGTCCTTCAACTGACCAATGAAAATAATTAGCCAACTCCTGACCTAGTGGCTTTTTCTGAGGGAAAATTATATAAAAATGATGTCTTTCTTGTCAAATAAAGTTGTTAGCCTTGGAGTCACAGGGCGATCTTCTGATTTTTGCGGCTCAGTGGAGAATCAGGTCTGAGGGAGAACAGTCATTATTCGTATCTAATCCAAATTTCTCATTCCGTTAATAGGGTTTCTTGCATTTCGTATTATTTCGTCAGTCACTTCGAAAGTCAAGAAACCACTAAAAACTGAACAAGTTACTATGTAAAACTATCATCTGATTGAATGTACAATAACAACATCATCTAAAAATGTCTAACGAATATTTTCAAGAAAGTCTATAGAATTGTGGGAAAGAAAACGAGTGAACTCATATCCATATACACCTGTCTTAAGTAAATCTATATCACGAACACAAACAGAGCACTGAAGAAAATAGAAATTTCATTCCTCCGTGAGGCAGTTTTCCCTCAAATAATTCAGCGATTGTCCATTTAAAACGACTAGAAATTATCGAATCATATGTTTGAAAACTGCTAAGTCCCTGCTGACGATAACACAGTAAGGTGGTATCAAAAATATGAAATTCTACTATGGTTTTCTTTCAAAACCAAAATATCCAAACTACACTATATGGTTTGCTCAACACCATCAGTAGCATTATGACTGTAAACATGAATACTTTACATTGAATACTAATAACCTGTGAATTCATCAATGGCTTAAGAAAGCTGCAAGGTGAAAATTCACATTTGAGTTTCACAGAACTGTCACTGTCACATCAGACTACGCTTTTTGCGAGGACGTGATTTAACTATGCATATGAAGAAGACAGCGATAATTTTGGTGGTTTGAACTACTCACCTCTCACAGTTGATTCAGTCGCAGTATACAGCTGATGAGGTGGGCCTAAAGCGAGTGAGATGATGACCTGATATTTAGGTCATTCAAATTCCGTTAGCGAGCACTTGTGGCCAGTATGAATGATGTGCAACTTCTCATCTAGCCAGAAGTAAATAAAGGTCTAGCTTAGTAAGATCCAGCTAGTAAACAGACTGATGAGTAAATCTCAACACAACCGTCCACTTACTTTGTTGTGGCTAGCAGAGAAATCTAGGACGCATATTTTGTTTCAATTGGGACTCATCAGCTGCATGTACTACCTGACCCAACTAAGATTCGAACCTCGTACCTATTGCTTCAAACCAGCAAAGCGTTATCCACTAGGCGACTGAGGCATGATAGCCACCTCTTGTACAGCAGGTATCAGTTATTACTACTTGTTGATATACCTGTAATTCCCCGTTGTCACACTGTAACATGATAAATATTCAGGTAATATCGACGTATCCACATTGGAGTCCATATGCCAACAGAAGTCGAACAATTTGATCTAGTATAACAACAGAGGATTACAAGTACATCAACAAATAGTAACAACTATCCATCTTCTGTAAAACTTAACAAACCAACACATAACTACACTGTCCTTTACACTTAATCAGAGGTAAGATAACTTTCCATTGCATCTTAAAAGGTCAAATGTAAGTAGTAGTGTACACAATCTGTAAACCAGTAACTTTTTCCATAATCAAGTCTTTTTTAAATGCTTGGTAAAACTTTCATAACTAAGCAGGTTCTCCGTTGACATAGGGACGAGACTCCCTGGCTTTAGCACTTGACTGGCAATGCTTCATGGGTTCACAATGAAACATTGCATACTTGGCTTTTTACAGTCATGTTTAGATATTGATGACATCATAGGTGACCCAGATGTGTTCGGATATCTCATCCACCAATAGCCAAGTAGACAAACCTCTCTATGAATAAGTGCAGGCACAGGTTCCTGTCGGCCTTGTCAGAGCGTTTTGTACCTATAGATAGTTATTGCTAACTGATTGAGTGAAGGTGAAGTTTTTCAGCGAGTAAGAGATCTCCGAAGCCTTCATACATGCGTCAATGTCGTTGAAAAGTGGAAGTGAGTTACGGCATATCATAAATGGACGATGTAGAGCAAGCGAGAACATTGAACAGCCTGTCCAAACTTGAAATTACTTTATTTGATGCGTTGTAATCAACGAATCGAAGGTATCCTTAGTGTTATGAAATACAATGACTGTTAGTCCACAGTCTATCTGGTCGATTTTGAAGCATCTCATGGAACGTGCCACACTTTTCAGCAGCACAGTATCAGTCATCATAATCATGTCGAAGTGATCGGCCAGCTGTTAAGCTGCACGGAATACTCTCCCTAGAAACATACCACGTGAAGCTACGAGTCGACATTTGCATGGCTCATCAGGTCACTCGAGGTATAACACCATAACAGTACTTATCCTTTACACATTTAGGGAGCAGATGACTGTCTACGCGAACCATGCTACCAAAAACATATCACATTAAGAAAATACACCAGAAAATTAGCTTCAAACCATCAGCACTAATCTGATCTATTATGGATAGCTGCTTCACAATACGTTCTCAAGACTTTTTGAAACTCAAAAAAGTTTGACGAATAGCTCTGAGATAGCCAATTGCATTTCTGTATCTTATAGAAACCTACCTTCCCTGTTAAAACACCAAAACCTGATTGGTTATTTCATCAGTTGTAGAGTGGTCTTTTAAGGCATTCGATTTTAAAGGTCACCCTAGCAACTGATGAAATAACCAATTAGGTTTGTTCATTTTGTCTGGAGGAGCAGATTTTCATAAAATGGAGAAGTTTGATTGGTTATTTCAGTTGTTGTAACTGCTGAGATAGCCAATTAGGCTTCAGTATTTTACAGAAAACCTACAATCATCTGCGATATATGAAAACTTGATTAGTTGTTTCGGCAGTTGTTAGGGTGGCCTTTAAAGTTGCCCCAAAAAATAATATCAACTCAATTACTCACTTTATATTCCCTATTGTTACAAACTGTACATGTTTTACAATCAGAACACTGCCATGGTGATTGACGAGCACGTTCTGTCAATTCAGGCCAATAATCAAGGCAAGTAGGATGTGCTGAAAAGTAATAAAAAAATAGGTTACCAATCAATAAGTTTTCAGATATAAAACTAGAAACACAATAAAGAACAAAATCATAAAACAAAGAAGAAAAGAACGATAACTAAACTAATAGATAACAACCAGAGACTATTACTGAATGCCCACCATTTATACTGATCTGACAATTAGATTGTTGTACACTTCGTTGATGTTTATTGTTGTACTTTAATGATAATTCATTAGTATTATCGTCACTATTAGTTGTGGTGATGGTTGAAGTAGTAGTAGTAGTAGCAGCAGCAGTAGTATTGGTTATCTGATTGCATATTTGTTTATCATTTTGATGACGTTTTCTGATCACTAAATCGACAGGAGAATTATGACTATTATTTAATTGTAATTCATAGTTGGATTGTATAGGAGATAATCTTGATGATTTGATTAAAGTATGATTGTATGTTGATAGACGACGTAATGATGAATTAATTTGTTGTTGCTGTTGTTGTCGTCGTCGCCGTTGTCGTTGGTGTACTGCAGCATATGCTAGAGTTGATTCAATTTTACGCAGAATAGTAGACAAATGAGTTGGTCCAATTGGACGATAATTGAACCATATATTTTCTTGTATACTATTTGTCTGCCATGCTAGAAAGTAATTATCCCCACGTGTTTCAAATGTTGAACTGTATATAATAGCATACATGTATACAGAATTATTTGTATATGTAATGTAGTAGTAGTAGTAATATAGAGCACGTATTGTAATGATTGATAGAATGAAGAGAAAAAAGGTTAGAGGAAACTTGTGGGTATTATCTTAAGTAATCAACTATCATAATCATAGTAGCAATAACAATACAACTTAGCAACTACTTACCCGTACCTATTATGTGAGGAGTAGGAAAACTACCAAACTGGTCAAATTTCCATGAATGGAGACGGGTGGGGGTTTGGACCTATGGTTCGACGGTTATCAGTTCGAAGAATTAAACTTAATGAAACACATTTCTAACCTTCAATATCAACATATACACATAGATTGATAGGTTGATTGACTAACTGTCTCTAAGCCATAACAACAACTAAAAATGAATGAACTTCAACACTATTCTACAACTCACTTTGATCTTCTAGACATATAGAATTCATGATAACAAACAATACAACGTTCATGATTATTCACTGAGTTATGCTCTAAGATATAATCATTTATTGAATCCATAGGCATTGACTGTTTATTATGCGAAGGTCCTAATGATGATGAGATATTGTTGAAATAATTAATTACAGTGTACAACTTGATATCTTGTCCCATTGTATAGTCTTGTGGTGAATTCTCATCTAAATAATCAAAGTATGAATAGAGTTTTTGATCAATCCCAGTTGATGTTGTTGTTGTCGTCATCGCCGGTGATAATGTTGCTGCTGCTGATGATGATGACGACGAGGAGGAGTGTAACGAAGATACAGACGACTTGATTAATGATGTACAGCTAAGATCAGGTCTATAAACAAGACCTGAACACCAATTCCTATCACTGATAGACAGATTCTTCATAATCTTCCTAGAAATAAGTTGACTATCATCAGTCTCATTATTACCCTTTTTATCATTATTATCAGTATTATAAAGAATCAACTTCAGTTGACTATTCAATCCATAACGCAGTTGATATAATTGATGACTAGTACGTAAATGAAGCAGTTTAGCAAATAAATAAATCAGTGTATAGACTAATTGTTGTGGATTTTGTTTACCAAAGAAATTTGTTCTCCAAAGAAGATCCTCTTCAGGTGAGGAATAAAATCTAGTGTTTAAGAGTTTGGGATTTGTTGGAATATAAAATATAATATGATTATTAGGTAGAATCTGTAGTACAGCAGGTGAAATCATACCAGTACTCTGATTGTTACTATTTGAAACTGTACCTACTGTAACATCATTATTACTGATAGTCTTTGAAGCAATAATCGATGACTGAAGTGTTAATAATTGATTATCTCTAGTCAACTGGGTATTTTTATCTCTATTCAAAGATTTAGATACATTAGAAGTAGTAGATGGAACAATAATAGATTGTTGCTGATATTGTGTAACTGATTTATTCATGTTTATCAACGATTTTGATCCTAATTTTTTATGATGGATTGATTGTATAACAGGTGTATTACGAATAGATTTAAAACCTAATCTAGTATTGACCAATAAAGTATTTGGATATTTCCTTAAAGGATTTGGTAATATTGGCCTATTTGATACATTAATTGGTTTTAATGGGAATGAAGTATGATTTATTGGTTTTGATCGATTTAAAAATGAGACAGTAGTATGATTGATTGAATGATGATCAGTTGGATAAGACATTTGTTCGCAGATGTTATTAATTATACTTACTGAAGAATTAATTGATGATTTACTAGGTATACTTGTTGAATAGGTATGAACACTTTGACTCAATGATCCCATCTTCAAATTACTATGGATATCACATTTCGATATAGTCACTGGGTTAGCGATAGTTACTGTGTAACAATTGGATTGCGCCTTACGTTTACGTGGTTCATGTTTAAAACCAGTAACTTTTGAACTATTATTATTATCATTATCATTAGTGGTAGTAGTAGTAGTAGTAGAGATTTTTTCTGGAACGTGATCAACATCCTTGAAATCTTCTGTTGAATTATTGCTTGATAAATGTATTGAAGGCAATTTAGACTTTTCTGATTTCTTTGTGATTTCAACATGTGAAGTAGTAGTAGTTGTCGTTGTTGTTAAACTTTCAAGGTTGTTACAGTACTCTGCAGATTGAAATGTTTTCTTAAACTTTGGAATATTGGTATCAACAATCTTAGAGTGTATTGAAGAAGAAATAATTTCAGTAGCTTCTGAAGTCTTGGTCAAAATGACTGAAATATTTGATGTATTGTTTCTGTGGATATATTCCAGAGGGTATGATAGTCTTTCAGGTATACTTGAAGAGTTTTTTAAATCATTAACAAAAATATTTGACAATGATTGACATGTTCTAATAGATGAATTGAAAACTGATTCTAATGGATACTGTTTTAATGGAAATTGACTAGTTTCATCCATTGAAATTAAACAAGGTCGCTTCAAACTGTTGAAAGTTATCTCAGGTATCTGATTTCTAACATTATAAGTGTGCATATATTCCAACTTATGACTAAAGTTAAGTGAAGGTGTTAAACTTTTTTCATTTATCAATTGACTTTTGTTTTCTTCATTTATCTCATGTCTAACATCACCAAAACTATGAGTAATTAGACTACAATTAGTGAATTGTGGTAGAAAATATTTCAAATATCCTAGACTTTTATTCTCCAATGAAGTTGATGTAAACAATGTTGTATAGCATCCTCTAGCCTGAATATTATTATCATCATCATTGTGCCTATCATGTGAAAAATTCATCGGTTGATCACTCCTCGCAAGAGAGTATACAATTGATGGATTTGAATCTCTATTACTCTTATCACCTTTCATAGATTCACTTGACACAAAAATAATACTAACAATACTATGCTGAAAATTTTAAAATTACTGTTATATAATACAGATTAGGCTAATTCATGTATTGATCAAATTCATGTTTGAATTGAAAATATCGATCGTTAGCATTTTATAAAGCATGAAAGTCAATAAGATGGTTACATTTAAAAGATTCACTTATGCATTCTAGTTATTATATTCAATGACAATTTAACAATATAAACTGTCAACCGATACACATACATACATACACACGAATGAATAAACAATGTAGTCGATCAAAATACAAAAAAATATGCTTACCATGAAGGCCACAGTCCTTGCAGATAAGAAAAGCTTCTTCACATGTTGGCAGACCTCCACAACAACAACAAACAGAACTTTCTTTCCCATTTGTTTATCTGTTCCACATGAATCTATATCCGATATAAATGAGTCAGGTGTTGATAAGCCATTATGTTTCATAGGTATAGTTAATTGTGAAGTATTTGTAAGAACATTTGATGTACTAGGGAATAAACTTGGTAATGGTAAACCCTGAGATAGTGGAAAAGACAAAAATGGAGATGATATTGTTGTCATCAGTGAAGAATCTATGGGTATACTTGAAGCTGCAGAAAAGTGACCTGGTAGAATTGTACCAGGCAGCATATTAGGACAATTATTACTGCTAGATGCAATCACAGTGATGAAAGAACTAGATGGTAAGACTGGTAAAGATGATGAAAACGGAAGATCATTAATGATATTTGAGGTGAAACATGATGTTGGAATCAGATTACTAGTATTCGTACTATCAGGTACAAATATGGAGGAAGTTGTAGTTAACGCGCTGCAAGCATTGGAATCCAGACGACCACCACTACCACCAATAATGGATGCATTTCCATATGTACTTGAAGAATTTTCAACTCTTATTTTCTAGAAACCGAAAACAATAAATACAAATATCGTCAATATCAAAACAACACACAATACACAAGCTACAGACATATTAATTATTGTTAAGGAAATAGTATATAATATGCTTAAAAAATCTAATCAGGTTATCCCTATCGGGGTGATGGGTGCGTGTTGTTGACGGGTCCCATATTAGGACGAAACAGTTGTCCAGTGCTTTCAGGTTGTTAGTGCTTCTGCAACTGATGTCGGTCCATGATGAATAATACCACCCTAGAACTAATAAATACATCACCAGAAACCTTTAAATTAAGTTAACCCAGTGTTCACTGGTGATTGGCTTCGCAAGGTGATTCCTGAAGTTACAATGAGAAGTCGTGGTCAGTGAAGTCAACCAAGTCGAACATGAGGACAGTTAATCAACGATTACATTGGATGGAGGTCACGCTATATCGTGAACTGACAGAAGTTGAAAATATGGCCCATTGGATTTCGACCCAGAGGCTCAATGGTAACGCGCTGGCCACGGAACCTGAGTTCGATCCCTGGCAGTGTGAGGTTATGGGTGCGCACTGCTGAGGAGTCCCAAGGTAGGACGAAACAGATGTCCAGTGCTCCCAGGTCTCCAATGTTTCTCCAACTGACACCATTCCATGATGAATACTAACTTGAAAGACTTGTTAACTAGTTCATAAGTTATGTATTACAAAAAACTAAATTCGCATTCTATGTAGATGGGCTGGCTTTCTCAGTGCATGTTCAATGTGGTCACGTTGACAAAACTCACAATCCACTTACACGTTTGACCTAATCTTCTTGATAGAACAATTAATTCTTAAACAACAAAGCCGATAACCTAGTGGAGCAATGACTCATTAGCAATACGAATCGACTTTCAACTACCGGTGTTCAAACGCGGTTACAATCCTACTCTACTCAATAAGGTTAAGACAGGTGGGTAAAATGGTTACCCTCATACAAATGAATATGACCTCTTCTTCACTGCATCAACTTTTATGGGACTTCTGAGTTGCAGTTGCCACAACCCATTTTATCACACACGCCTTCATAAAATAGGAAACAGAAGAGTAATATGACAAAACTATATACTGCAAACAATTACCTGTGTACCAAGTGGTAATAGTGACTTGCAACCATAATTATACTTGTAGTCAACCGTTGTTAAATTTTTTGAAAGATGAATATGCAACGGAGTCAAAATTAGAAAAATACGCTCGCATTTTTAATTACTCACCGACTAAGAAAAAGGTCAGGAAAACTAGAAGCTTGAAGAAGGTTAGTGGACTACTACTGCTTCATTAGAGATGATTAATTGTAAATCCATATATCTTCATGAATGCTCCAATACTTCCTTTCTGATACCTCTCTCTATCTCTTCGCATGGAAAACTTTTATTCTTGTGATATGTGAAAGCAGGCATGGTTGCTTATAAAATTTCCATCTTTACAGAAGCATTTGTAGTGCCTAGAAAGCATATTTCAGTCAATAAACCAATCGAAACCTGTGACCCTAAAAATGACCAGATAGGTTAGTTTGCTATCAGAACCAAGCTTAAATCAAATGACTAAAATCACCAAGCGATCGATAATCTGTTATATTATATATAGCTCGAATGTGCGAATCGGCGAGAATTAGATGATAGATCTTGGCTTTGATTGGTCGAAAACAATTGTTACAAAAATGAACGTGGGAGGACAGTCAAAAGTCACATGATGAACGGAATGACATGTGGTCTCAAGTCTAGGCCATACGAAGGTAGATCAGTTTATTTCGTTATTTCAGCCAACTATTCCTTTCCAACTTGGCATGAGAAAACAGTATATTACTAATTATGCCTGTTATATGTCAAGAATACCAGTCTACTTGTTTTAGATTCTATCCAATATTGTGTGTTTACGAAGTTTTTTCAACTGGAAAATAAAACGGAAGAGTATCGAAACACCAGACTCTTGAAACCCTATTATGATGTGATTTGGTCGGTGCCGTGCGCTTCGACCTATTTAGTGCCCCCATTGATAACCTCAGCACTTATTTCTATGCAGGGAAATCCAGTTGATGAGCACTAAATAAGACGAAACGTGCGTCCTGGATTCCCTGCTTACGCGAAATGCACTTAGCAACCGGATGCGCACTCGATTGGGAAAATGTTCAACTTGGATTTCATCTAAAAACGCTGTGACATCACATAAGTAAACGATTCTGTTGATATCAGTTATGCAGTAAGCCCTAAAACTAGATGCCAAACTAACAGTGGTTTATGTGTTTTAGCTTAGAAGGTTCAACTAAAGTGAGAAGTAACTGGTAGAGGAAATAGGACTTCATCATATCTACCTTACTCTCACGGACTGCAACCTACATGCAAATAAAGGTAAGTTTTACCATCAGCTAAGTGACATTCTCAACCAAATGCGATAGTCAGATGAATATTGGATTGCTAGATGGAGAACCAGATGTGTAACGTGGTGCACTAAGAGTTGAGGGACAAATTGTTTCAGTGACCAGGGAGGATAATGAGGACAACTTTCTAAATAACGTATTGCTAGACAGCACCAACTCCCAAAATATAACCGTTACCGGTATCCACTGTGGTATTGCAAACTGAATATCCCATCATCCTAGAATGAGACCATGACTCTACCCACCTTTATAATAAGTTCCGGGTTTGATAGCTGCAAACCTTGAGGTAATGGTCGGGCTTGCAAATCAAAATGAGCAACAAGCTATACGAAATGGAACGCTTGTTTTTTTAAGCCCTAACATGCCGGGAAAGTCCACTGGACAGTAGTAAAACACAAAGCAGTTACTGTCAATGTAAATAGCTACGTTATGATGGGGTCTGAAGGTGAAGCCATACTTTTGACTGGATGTGGTGACAGCAGTAAGGTAATTCTCGCATTTGACTAACAGTCCATGCTGATTGCTGCCTTTCCTTTGGGGAGGGGCGGATAGAAAAGTTAGACCCCAAAAGTAACACACTGCCGAATCGGTCTCAAAATCAAAAAACATTCCGTAGGTTCGTGCACCTTCGTGCAGTGGGCGATGAACCACGCTAATTGTGTGAGATTTGAAGATACTACCTGACTGCGCAACATCCGATTAAGCGACGAACCTGCGACTCACGGATTGGAGGACCAATGCTCGTAAGCTTAACTGTATTTTGCAGTCGTACGGGCCTAGCAATATGGGTTTCCTTTTGATGGATTCAAGACAATTCAATTTAAATCTCAGACTTTCAGAAAGGCTGTGTGCATCAGATTTTATTTAGATGTCCTAAGAGCTCTTGCCACACAAAACTAACCTCTTTTTTCTCCTAGGCATACTTTGCAGAAACAAATTCCATGATGCGGGTAACCAGGATGTACACAACCGCCCACACTCCCAGCAGTACGCAAAACCCAATCAAACACAACTTACCTTCCATACCTTTTTCTCCCCCTCGCCCTTACTTTGTGATACCAAAATAAAGTCCCTTAGAGTCTCCCTAGCTTTCTATCATGCGACTACGGTTAACGATGTAAGCCAGCAAAACACCGGTCTCGATTTCTCAAAACCACACTGTCAATTTTACAATGGAGCCGTCAACGTTTTAACCTTATGCCGAATTAGGCAACAAACATCTCAGGTCATAACTTTGGGGTCTTCAGCCAAAGATGTATGCTGCCTCGCTAAGACGTGTATAGAGGACCGTATCTGGACAATGTGGTAAATTTGCGAAATTCACTTTACCAGCATCAGGGGGATTCGGTGAGGGGTTGTTGGTTTTCGTGGAGTAGAAGTTTGAACTTCGATCACACAGTATTAAGAGCATGTGTATGCTTGTGCCTTACCAAGCGTAGGAAGAAAAGGACCTAGATCTCTATATGCTCGACTAGAAGATGCAAACGTCAAGCAAAAGATGATAAACAAGCCTTCATTTAAACAGCACACCAACCCTCTTCCTAATGAAACCTGGAGTAGTATTCAGTCTGCTGTTGAAGCAGTGGTAAGCACAGTTGGTAACCTACATCCAGTGTTAGCTAAAGTCAGTGGATGTTTCCAAACTCATCCGAACCGATCTACGCAGGAAAACTCATCACAGGAAGCTTTAACCACGATGATGAACGAAAGCAGCTTACACGTAAATTGATAAAGAGTCTTCGTAACGACTTTGGGCAGTGGTGAGTGGGAAAAAAGAATTTATTAAGGCCTATTACGGAAACTAACAAGAAGAAGTTCTAAGATCACCAAAACGATTGGTCAACGATAAACTCTTAGGATAGGTGGCTGCAGCGTTGAGCGAACAAGTTTACGGAACTGTCCAAATAACCTCTACCTTCATTTCAGTTGCGGAACATTCAGCCCGAACCTGAAAGGGTTGTAGAGATTAATTTTCTTGCCATCCTCGAAGTGGAAAAGGCTGTTTCGGTGGGATGAAGCAGGACCTGATAGTTTGCCACAACAGGTTTTCTGAATGGAATCGAAATGCACTCAGCAACATTGCGGTAGGCAATGAGGCACACCTATTGTACGACGGCTAATGATACTACCTGGCTGCCCAAGCCTCTGTAAGTGGAGCGCAGTTCGAACCCGTGGCCCATCGGTTGGAAGTTATTTCCATACACCAGTGAGCCACAGCTCCACTCGAACATTTTTACGGATAAAGAAAGGAAACTACTGAGTAAACTAACGCAGGTACTAACAGTAGATAGGAATCAGGCACGACTCCGTTAAATCAGCCTAAACTGTTGATTATTTTAGTCTATCAGAAAGGAGAGGAAACTTCCACTGGCAACTATAAATGAACTAATCTAACTAACATCGCATCTACAATCCTAAAGTCCGAAACCTTACTGCGAACAGCAAACTTGAGAAAGATAAGCAGGTTCCGGAGTTTGACTAGAGTGCATCGGTCAGATATTCTCCGTTTGACAGGTTTTGGAGCGCAAGCAGACTTGCCAGCAACCGACAATTACCACAGTTCTTAATCTCAAGGCGATATCCCGCTAAGTCAGTGCGAATGTATTGTGATAGTGATTGCGTATGAGGAGAGTATTAAGAAAGTACGTGATGCTAGTCACTGCCACTTACTAAAACTTTAGAAACCGGGTAAGGGCTAATGAAGCTTTTGTCTGACGTATCGACAATCAACAGTGTCCACCAAACATGCCTACCTCCACCGTTATTGTTATTGATGCACTAACAGATATACACCTGAGTACATCTGAATAAAAAGGCATTGGCGTACTCCTTCAACACCATGTGGCTTGGATTATACAGACAAAGTAGTCCTGTAAAGCAAAGACGATGACAAAATACAGGGTCTTCTAAGCGCCTCCAGCCAAACCAGAGTATTTTTGACGTGCATCTTACACCTGCCAACTGTAAAGTGATACTTCTCCACTGCTCTGCACCAACTCTTACTTGGAGGATGCACAGTGAATAGGCAGAATGTACTGACCACTTCACTCGACTGAAGAGTTGAATCAACTCAAATGAATTCGGTTTTCGACGAAATTTCACCTCAGAAACAAAAGAACCACCTGGCACGTACCAACTCACACCATTTCTAGTTCTGGTGAGATATCCGACTTGTAGACTACTGGAAGTGTGAGAACGGTTGACACTTCCCGACTGCCTCCACCGTGGAAGCCTATTTCTTTTTAAGGTACCTGGTATACGAAAAGATTTATGTGATCACAGAACTCATGGGACATCTGTTCGAAGCCTGTCAGACACAGACTTTTCAGGATTGTTGATATGAGATTTGATAGTTCTAAGGCTGGATGGAGAAAACACGCACCGCCACAACCAGATGAAGTTGTGGGGGGGGTGCCATTCGTAGGGTCGACCTTACCTAATCACCGCTCCCCATAGGGAAGGCCTCATCATCGTGGTACTGCTGGTCATCTAAAAGAAATACTTTATTGGTGTCGCAGTTTATCCAGCTAGCAGAAGTACGACTTTGCCCTCCAACCTCTATCGTGGTGTATTAATTTACGCTGCTTTCCGTCCCACATCTATTCAACGGACCTCTTTGGCATAGTAGGACCTCGACAGAACAAATATTGCAGCCAAAGTAGCTCGTTGGGCCATTGTGATATACAAGCTCGACCACCACATTAAGGTGGCAGCTATCGGTCGGGAGATATCTGACTACTTATCAAAGGACAAGTATGCAACGCAGCAGTTCGCTCTACCCCCACTGTACTACTGTGAAATATGGCCATTGGAATTAGAATATATGAAAAGCTTATACGTTTTTGATCATAGGTTTCTTTACAGCATTGCTCACCTGTTTTGGAGTAACCGTGTGAGTAATGCAGAGGTTAAGAAAGGGGTACTAGGCAACATAGGCGATTCGAGTAATGAGGTTGTGAACCATCACCAACTGAGTTAGTCTGTACATTTGTTGCACATGGATAGGTAGATAGGAGGATAAAACCAACGTCCCAAACCACCAGTTGCCGATCAATATATGTGCTTTGCAACATATACCTCAAAGTAACTTGACAAAACCGACAGGAATCTATGCCTGAAGACACTTGATGAAGAACCACTGAAAGCAGTAGAAAGGTTTATTCATCTAGGTGACATCTAACATAGGTGTGATAAATGAGAAGTCTGTATCAAAACCTACAGTGGCTTACATCTCTCTGTATCAACCTTCGATACCACCAAGACACCTCAATATAAAAAGTGAAATATGCAATGCTACGTTGTAAACAGTCTTCTTCTACAACTATGAGAGCTGGTCTCTCTGATAGACAAAAGCAACGTAAAACATAGCACACAGGCGTATCGGTTGAAATTGTTACATTTCACAGCAGCACACTAAGAACAAGCTGACCTCTTCGAGCAGAGGACGTCTGGCTTCTACGTATTTGATCAGCATTCTCTGCACTGCTATTTCCCGACTGATAGCTGCTACCTTGACGTGGTGGTCGGGGTTGCATATCATAATGATCCGACGAGCTATGCTGGTGGAACACTTATTCTCTCAAGGTCCTACCATACCAGGAACGTCTGTTGGATAGTGGTTAGACGAAAAGCAGTTACCGTTGTGGTGTAAATTACTACACTATGATGGGGGTCTGAGGGCGAAGTCGTACTGCTGCTAGCTGGATGGGGTGTGACAGCAGCAAGGTGTTTCCTTTGGATGATCAGCAGTGCCATGCTGATGCTGCCTTCTCAATGGAAGGGGGGGGGGGGTTAGAAAAGGTCGGCCACAAAAATAACACACTCCACCACGCCCCACGGTCTGCCGGGCCGGCGGTGTTGGTTCATTTATCGTTTCTTTTCGATCATCCGGCCCCAAAAATACAAAAGTTCAAAATAATCATACACAAGAGGCTGGGTGTGACAGGCCTCAAGCAGATGTCCAATGGGCTCTGCGGTCACACAAATCTCTTTCAGGTATTTTAAGAAGAAATAGCCTTCCACAGTGTAGGCAGCCGGGAAGTATCAGTCGCTCTCACAACTCGATCAGCACTCAAGTTTCTTCAGGCTGCTATCCACCTCCCCCCTCATTACCTCCTAATCTTGCTTCACGTCTCCCAATTAACAATACTACATCATCTTTAATTTCTCCTAGCTCTGCAGCCTTTGACAACGATCTGAGTTCACAGAACTGCGTCCTTGGCCTCCTTAAACCACGCTACAAATTACATATTGGAGCCTTCAATGTCCGCACCCTTCGTCAAATTGGTCAAAAGGCTTCGTTAGCAAAGACTCTACAACTCGGGCCATGGATGTGTGCTGTGTCTGTGAGACACGCATACAGGACCCATGTACGGTTATTCACCTGACATCTCTCGGCTAATCTGGTGAATCCTCAAAATTCACCCTTCGAGTTTCTGGAGATTCGATAGCTAGCTCTCGTGGTCTTGCAGGTGTAGGTATAGCATTAAGCACTAGGGCAGAAAACTCACTACTAGACTGGATCCCAGTTGATAGTCGCCTCTGCGCTATGAGGCTGAACGGCACAGTGAAAACTAAAAGGAATAGTGAGACTCGCCGTTGTCTCTTTGTAATCTCTGCTTACGCACCCACTGACTGTAGTTCGGATGAAGTGAAGGACGAGTTCTACCGTAAACTGTCTAGCATCCTCTCGAAAGCCAAACGTTCGGACGTAGTGGTTGTTGCAGGTGACCTCAACGCACAGGTGGGTAGACTGAGTGAGGCAGAAAGGCACTTAGGTGGCACTTTCGGAATCCCAGCTGAACGTACAGATAACGGTGATCGCCTATTACAACTATGCTCAGATAACCGCCTATTTTTGGCCAGCACAAATTTCAGACATAAGAAAAGACACTGTCTGACGTGGCGTCAACCGAGACCAACTCAGCGATGGACACAGATAGACCACATTGCTATTAGTCATCGCTGAAGAGGATCGGTGGAAGACTGCCGCCTCTTCTGGAGTACGTGCTTGAATAGCGACCACGCGTTGGTCCGAGTACGTATATGTCTGTGTCTCAATGGACGTAGAAAAAATTTGGCAACAAAACCACTACGAGTACTGTTGGACAATGAAAACACCAAAGCCGTGTTCAGTGAGAAGTTGGCTAGGCAGTTATCGGAACAGAAGACTACCACTCATCCAGAAGAAGTTTGGTGCCATCTTCAGTCTGCTGTAAAAGCAGCACTGAAGACTGTAGCCGACTCCAAAATAATGGCTGAAAAGAGCCAGTGGATATCAGCAGCTTCTTCCGAACTAATGGATGCACGTCAGCGCATCCCTGCAGGCCCCGAGTATGATGAAGAGCGGGCACAGCTTAAAAGTAGACTGAGGAAGAGTCTACGCAACGACCGCGAACAGTGGTGGGCAGCGAAGGCTAAAGCGATGGAAAAGGTGGCGGCGACTGGTAACAGTAGACAGTTATTTAGACTTATTAAGGAGACTGGGGGGAAATGGTCAACAACAGTTAGTGAGGCTATAGCGGAGAAGGACGGATCTGCGATTCACTCGCAGGGAGACGACTGGAAAGATGGGCAGAACACTTCGAGAAGAAGTTTATCTGGCCTCCAGCCACCATTGCGTTGCCCGCTATCCAGTCAGATCCTGAATGCAACATTGAGATAGACTCCCCAATACTAGTAGAAGTTGAGAAAGCGTTAGGTAACTTGAAAGGAGAAACAGATGCAGGATCAGACGGAATAACTCTAGAGGTATACAAGGATGTTGGTGGAGTGCTCTCAGTCAGGTTAACGGAAGTGTTAACTAGTATATAGGAATCAAATACGATCCCCTCTGACTGGTCTAAATCACTGATTATTCCGGTCTTCAAGAAAGGTGAGAAGTCCTCTTGTGATAACCACACAGGAATCAGCCTGACGAACATAGTATCCAAGATCCTAGGTCCTACAATTCTCCAACGCCTGAGTGGAGCTCGGGAACAGTGAGCCCGAGAAAACCAAGCAGACTTTAGACCTGGCCGTGGATGTATCGACCAAGTATTCACACTGAGCCAGGTCCTGGAACATAGGCAGGCTTACCGACATCCGATACTAGCTGTATCTCTCGACCTGAAGGCGGCATTTGACTCCGTTGATCGAGAAGTCTTATGGCAATGTCTCTCACTGAAAGGCGTGCCGAGTAAGTGCATCATTTTATTGAAGGCTCTCTACTCGAATACTTGTGGGCGTGTTAGAGCCTAGGGTGAGATGTCCAGGGAGCTATGGTTATCGAGTGGTGTCCGTCAAGGGTTCCTACTCTCTCCATTCTTATCCAATTTCATCATAGATATTCTTATGGAGGTCTCCTTCTCGTCACCTGATCACACAGACGTTGACCTAATCACAGGAGAATTTTCATCAGACCTAGAATATGCAGATGACATAGTCATGTTAGGTGAAGACGCTGACAAGATGCAGAGTTTTCTGAACACTTTCAGTGGCAATTCGAGAATGTTTCGGATGCGGTTCTCACCACCCAAATGCAAATTGTTGCTCCACCATTGTCTTCAACGGTGCCCCACCATGGTCAACAACAGAGTGTGTCCACCAATTCACTTACCTGAGAAGTAGGATCAGCCCTGCTCTGGTGGCTCAATAACCGATGAAATTTCTGCACAAATACATAAGGCTCGACTGGCTTTCGCCAAATTACGCCACCTATGGCATCACCGTGATATATGATTGTCTATTAAGGGTCGCGTGCACTGCACAGCAGTCCACTCTGCTCTACTGCATGACTGTGAAACATGGCCATTGAAGGTGGAAGACATGAGAAAGCTGGCTTCAAGTGTTTGACCACCGTTGCCTTCATAGTAAAGGGGGCCGTATTCCCTGGTGTCACCATGTGAGTAACACAGAAGTCAGGGGTAGAGTTTTAGAGAGTAGAGGTAAATCAGTTGACGAGGTTGTTAACCTTCATTGACTGAGATGGTTGGGACATGTGTTACACATGCCTAGTCACCGTCTGCCTCGTCATCACACAACGTTGGCCGAAGTAGGTTCAAGCTGTAAGAAGGCCCACCGAGGTGGCCAGACTAAAACATGGCATCAATGTATGATGTGTTTGACTGTTAGTTTGAACCATGTGGGGCGATATAGACTAGCCAGTTGGGGTCCGCGGACAAGAGAAGCCAGTGGTTGGAGACTAGGTGATCACATGACTGGGAACCGATGTCAGTGGCGCAGATGTATACATGCACCATCCTCACCTTAACGACGCTATACCGAATCTCACCAAATCCTCATTCTTCCTCTCTCTCCTTGAGTACTTTATATTTCTTTTGACTGAGGTTTCTTATATTCATCTTGCACCTCATTGCCTTTTTGCTTGATGTACTGCAATGAAGTCTGGCAATCAGACTGTTATGCAGTAATGCCTGATCCTATGTTGATATTGATTATGACGATGATGCACTGGTTTGTGCTAATTCGGTACAAACAGCATACAACTGATTCCAGAGTCTTAACGTATACATTCATATGTGATAGAGGTCGATCCTTCAAAAAAATCAAAATCCACTGAGAAACCTTTTTTACGTTCGCCCAGTGAACAATGAGATAAGCCCACTGTACGAGGGAAAATAGTACTATATGACTGTCTAAAAAACCACTGACGCACTCGTGGAAAGTCCAAAACAAGGAGCCGCAGCTTCCTAGGCAAGAGAAGCAATCTGGAAATACCAGCTTAGGTTTACTGGTCACTTATAACAAGCGTCATTATAAAGGCTTCTTTCGAAAGCCGTGATACCATCCTCATCCATAGTAACTGAGTAGGAGTGTAAGCACTGAAAACAAATGCGACTCATACCCCCAGTACATCAAGATGTACCGGGTTGATTCAAATAAAATCAACTTTTGAGTTCCAGGAACATTTATTTTCGTAACCTGAGCCAGCCCAAACAGATGTACATTGGAGTAAATACTACGAAAATGCGTAACATATGCTAACAACATAGTTCCTGTTAGCTCATAGTCATTCTTGCCTGAAGCCCGATCGATAGTTGATACCTAGTCGTGGTGATCAGGTTCGCATATTACACTGTCTAGACGAGCTATGTTGGCTGAACGGCTTAATTCTTGAGGTCCTGTCATGCTAGAAAGGTCTGGTGAATAGTAAGACTAAAAGCTGTTACTGTCATAGCGTATGTATAGCTCATCCTATGGAAGGGGTCAGAGGGCGAAGTTATAATGCTGACTGTACGGAGTGTCTGTGGTATTATTTCCCCAGGTCGGACATAACACGATTAGTTTCAAACTTAAAAATCCTCAAAAGCCGGTGTGTCACCGACCTTCAGCAGAAATCCTTTTTGGTTCGAGATCAGAAACACAAGTTGCAGAGAATATCCTCAATAACCCCAATTTTTTCAAGAACCCCAATAGGAAGTAACCCTCCACAGTTGGAACAGCTAGTAAACGTCTAGCTTCAGTCCTCTCTCACCATTAGCAGACTTCCACCTTATAATCCTTCAAATTTTACTGCAAATAATCCTGTTATCTTTAGTTTCTTTCAGTTTACCAGGAAATGAAAAAGATTCTGGTTGACGGAACAGCACTTCTAGTCTCACAAAACCACACTCCGAACTAAACACCAGAGGTTTCATTTCTGGAAATTCCATCAAATCGGATAAGCTTTGCTGACAAAAACTCTGGCATGTCGGGCTAGGGACGAGTGCTCTAGTTGTGAGACACACATGGAAGATACGAACATAGTTTCCCACTTAACCTCATATGAACATGATAAATCTGCTAGATTCACCCTTACGCAACGAGTTCCCGCGGTCTTGCGGGTATAGCTATATCCTTAAGTTCTGAAGCGGTAGGTGCGCGACTGCATTCATAGAGGTGCAGAGACTGATGTTCTCATTGAGTCAAGGAATACTATGTTTGGTAATGCTTCTACTAATGTTCGAAATTCAGATACCTCAGATATACATCAATTGCCTGAGCACAGTTATCATAAAAGACCACTACATGCTCTGTGCCTCCTGTTGGCGTTCTGAAAGTGCCAAAATTGGTACTTTCCGACTTGTGCATTGGAATCACCCACTACGACAACCACATACACAGGTCTGTCTTTGAAGAGATGGCTGTACATGTTTGGTGAATCTTCCAATTCACCGGAATTACAGTAAGTGATTGCATGAGCTTAGATTACAAAAGGACAATGATGAGCGCCATTATTTTCAGTCGTCGATATCTCGTCTCTGCAAAATCAGATGACAGGAAGACATTCGTAAGCAGGTATATGACAAGATTAAATGCTGAGGAGAGGAGATATCATTGACAGAAATGTTCTCAAAACCAAACTGGAAACTCACAATAAGCTTTAACATGCCCAAAACTGTTCCAATCCAGAACCTGAAATAGAGTGATATACGACATGCCATACAATGAAAGACAATCATAAGACCTAACGACCGACGGAGTTAAATGTCGCCTTCAGGTAGGGAAATACATCCACTGTCAGGCGTCGGTAGGTGTGTCCGTGTTCCAGAATCTGATGGAGGGTGGATACCTGGTCGACACACTCGTGAGCAGATCTGAAGCATGCCTGGTTTTCTCGGGTTTGGTCCCCGATAGCTTCCCGGCCGATAGCCGCCAACATGAGGTTGGGGTCGGGCTTGCTTACCACAATGACTCAACGAGTTATGCTAGTGAAACGCTTGTTCCCTCAAGGTCCTAACATATCAGAAAAGTTAGTTAAGTAATTGTTCGACAGAAAGTGTTTACAATTATGGCGTATGCTTGAACGCACTGGGGTTTGAAGGCGAAGTTGTACTGCTGACCAGGCAGGGGGTTGACGGGAGCAAAAGTGCTTCCCACAGGTAACCAGTAGTACCATGTTGATGCTGTCATCCCCATCGGAAGGAGGTCTTCAGATGTTGGTTCACAAAACAACACACTTCCCTCTCTCATGCCGTCTCCTGGCGCCAACGGTATGGATTGTAGCTCGATGCAAATCAATTAAAACTAAACATCAAACTTTCAAAAAGGCAATGTGAACAGCCTTTCAACAGATGTTACTTAAACTCCACGACCGCGCCCTCTATTAACTCAATCTTGTTTTCATGTACCTCAAAACTAGCATTCCATAGCGTGGGGAGTCGGGAAGTGCCAACTGCACTCACAGCTCTGTCAGTAGACATGTTCCCTCAGATCACTATCCAACTTCTAATCTTCCTTCACATCTCTCGGACAACATTCCTTTAATTTGTTCCAGCTCTGCAGATCTTGGAAATGATCTGAGCTCATGGAACAGCATCCCTCGTCTCTTGAAACTGCTCCCCAAACTACACATTGTGGCTTTAAAAATTCGCAATTACCGTCAAATCAAACAAGCTTTCCTAGCTAAAACTCTGGTATCTCGGTATGTGCTATGTTTGTGACAGGCATCCAGGACGTAATCGCAGCTATTTACTTAACTCTACCCATTCAATACGGTGAATCCACAAAATTCATGGGTAGTTCTTGCAGTCTGGCAGGTATGGCATCAAGTGCACTGCTCAACTGCATCCCACCTGACAGTTGCCTATTAGCTATTCGATTGGACCATACAGTGAGGACTAAAAACGGTAGTGGAATTTGCCGTTGTCTCTTTGTAATCTCTGCACACGCACCCAGAGACCACAGTTCGGATGAAGTGAAGGATGAGTCCTACCGAAAACTGTCTAGCCTACTACAGAAAGTCGTCTTTCAGGCACGGTTGTTGTCGCGAGTGGTTTCAATGAACAAGTGGGCGGGCTGATTCAAACGAGAAGCTACATAGGCGGCACTTTCGGAATCCTAGTCGAACAAACAGATAACGGAGATCGCCTGCTACAACTGTGCTTAGATAAGCGTCTATTTCTGGTTAGCACGAGCTCCAGACATAAAGAGAAACATTATCTGGTGTGGCGTTCATCAATCTCAACTCAGTGATGCACGCAAATAGACTATACTGCTACCTGTTACCACCAAAGAGGTTCGGTGGAAGATTACCTCTCCTTCGAGGTTCATGACTATATGGTGGTCCAAGCATGCATATATCTGCACATATATATTCATGGGAAAACTACAACAATAATAGCATTTCAAGCGTAGCTCGACGATGAGAATAACAAAGCCGCTTTCAGCGAGAAAATGGGTAGACACTTATCAGTATCAAAACGTCACTCATTCATAAGAAGCCTGGCGCCATCTACAGTCTGCTCTAAAAGCAGCGTTGAAGACCGTAGCCGATTCTCAGAGAGTGGTTTATTGGGGCCAGTGGACC